GATAATGCGGAAATAAAGAGATAGGATAGGAGGGAGAAGATCAATGGCTGCGAACGCCGTGCAGCTACCTCGATACTCCCAGAGGCTGGATCTGCTGGTCAACTGGATCTACTGAGACTGAGACTACCCTGGATCAGCACACAAGGTGCAGGGAGTAAAGTGAGTACTCCGACCCAGTGAGTAATAAAAGTAACTACAGTCCGAAGATAAGAAAATCCAGTAAATACACAAAGTAAGCTAAAATCCAAATATACAGCAACATATGGAACTGAGCAGCTAAACACCAGTGTAAATACAAATACATGAATGCAATGCAATGCATATGATAGTACATTCCAGTACCCACTGCGGCATGCAGCCCGAAACATCCATATTTATTTATCGTCGACGGCACTCACTGGGGGTGTGTACAGACTCCGGAGGGGCTCCTACAGCCCAAGCACAATATTTTGGTCAGCCATTGTTACCTGACCGGTCAGCCATTGTTACCTGACCAATTTATATCATACAGTGCCATCGTTACCACTGTTCAAGTATATCATCCAGTGTCATTGTTACCACTATTTCAAATATATCACACAGTGTCATCGTTACCTCTGTGTCAAGTATATCACACAATGTCATTGTTACCACTGTTTCAAGTCACTTTATAATCAGTCCAGAAAATAATATAATAAGCCCCTTGGGCATTTACAAAACAGAAGTTCCCAGCCCGGAATACATTTAAAATTATGGCTGAGTTTGCAAAACAACATTTAAAACCTTGGACTGAAATTAAACGAANTCTATTACTCACCTCTAACCGGCCGTAGACTAGTCCGCAATGCCCTTTCCTCTTGAATCGACCTATTCGCACGTCGAATCTAATCAAAACCACAACGAATACATTACAATAGGCTAATAGAATATAACCCAATCGAAAAGACTCGAAAAATGTCGAAAATCCCGAAATTAGCAAAACCCGAGCCCCGGGCCCACGTCTCGAATTTCAGAATTTTTTTACATAAATACGACCCTTATCTCGCCACGAGTCTATACATACCAAATTCACAAAAATCGGAGTTCATTTGACCCCTAAAATCAGAATTTAATTCTCTTAAGTTGCAAGCCCTAAACCACCATTTTTGTCCATAAATTACTTGAGTTTTCAGCTCTAATCCATGTATTTCACTTGGAAATAAGTAGAAACAACTCACCTTTGATGCTTGATGAAATCCCCCTTGAAATTCTCTCAAAAATAATCCAAGCCAAATAAAAGAAATGAAAGAAATAAGCCAAATCCGTGTTTAAAAGAATCTGCCTGTGCTTCATCGAGTTGTACCTTGCACTTGTGCTATACAAGTTGTACATCCTATTAAAATTGTTCCTTGTCGGACACTTCTGTTTAAACACCCTTAACATCTTGTATAAATATCCAAATGTCAAACGGTTTGAATATTTAAAAACTAGACTCAAATATCATTAATTTGATAGGTTGTACACCATATAACTCTTTATATATCCCGAGATATGAGCTTCTAGATCGGCTCCATGAAATCAGAAAATTTCTGGAGAAACTGCTCCACCAGTCATCTTCAATCAACCATAACTTTCTCTACAAATGTAAAAATTATGATTTCTTTAGCTTTCGAGAAACTAGGTAAGAAGGGCTACAACTTTTATTTTTGAAACATCTCAAAATTCCTTGTAGATCAAAAGATATAGGTGTCTGAAGTACGCTCCACGACTGCACATTGCTGTCCAAAGACAGCTTAGCAGCAGAAATTGCAGCAACTTTTATTTTCACTAAAAAGGCTCTAACTCCATCATACAAACTCGGAATTAGACGATTCTTGTTCCTATGAGTCACAAATAATAATACAAACACAACCCATCAATCGAAACTCAATTCGGAGCTCGTTTGCCTAGTTCAACAACCATTTCGCTCGTTAAACAATTAACTCACATTTCATGTCAAAAACCCAATCGCGACTTGATGAAATTAAACCAAAATTTCTAGATCAGTCCTATAATTCATGATTTAAATTCTGGAAGTCTCGAAATCAAATTTGGATCTCTAGAACTAAAAATGGACCCTTGGATCATTACATGCTTATGCTCAAAACGACAAAAATCTTCCAAACACTCTTCAAAAACTTATCCGAGCCTCATGGGACCCCGACCAAAAATGCCAAAATAATTCATAACATCATTAAAACCTGCTCAAATCATCAACACACCTCAAAAAACATCAAATTATCCAAAACTCATCGAATTCAAGCCTAAGTTTCCAAAAACTACCGAAAATACACTTTCGATCAAAAACCCGACCAAACGATGTCCGAATGACCTGAAATTTTGCATACACATCACAAATGACATAACAAAGCTACAGCAATTCTCGGAATTCCCTTCCGACTCACGGATCAAAATCTCACCTATCAACCGGAATTCGCCAAAGTACTAACTTCGCCAATTCAAGCCTAATTCTACACCGGACCTCCAAAATTACTTCTGATCACACT